ACGGACGGACGGACTGACAGACAGGTAGACAGACAGGTAGACAGACAGACAGATTCATTTGCAAACTAATTCGGTTTGCTTGATTTTCACGAGGGACTCAAGTGAATCTCTCTGCGTTCAAGTAGAATATAAGGTCGAGGGAAACTCGGGAACGGTGCCTACCTGATTAGCCCCAAGAAGGGCGGAACTGGTCGTGGGCTATCCAAGAGTTTTCAGCAACCTAGTGAATAGTTTCCTTTTTTAGACCAAATACTTATTGTCTTGCATGTGAACCCAAGAGCACAGAGTGGCGTCAGAAAATTGTGTAGTTTGGATGAGGTTCGAACCCGGGCCATCTTCTGTTTGCAGTAGATCACTTAACAGAAAATTCGCATGTTAAGCGGGTTCGAGTCCAGATCAATATGTGCTTCGGTCAATATTTAAGATTTCCCAGGTCCCCGTCCATCCTACATCAAATGTGGACCACTTGTTTCAAGTGAAGTCTGCGTCGACTGAAAAAGTAGTTCACTCAAGTGAGTTTGTCACAAAGAGACCGGACCTTACCATGGTATGACGGTTTGCGCACCTCATCAACCCATTGGGCTATACTGGGAAGTGTCCTCGTGACACCCACAGAGTCCAGGAATCAATGGTTAGAGGTCTGACGAACACAGTCTCCTGATCCTCCAGGTTGGGGGTTGGAAAATGTGTGGCGACTTGTTCCGTAAAAACGGTAATGTATTCGCATTTTCCGTCAAACACCACTGACCTGCGGTTTGGCGTTTGAACCAAAGGCTTTGGTTGAGAACCTTAATCGTCCTCCTGTCTAGGTGTGGCCGCCCTGACAGTATCCCAGCCCTCGTACAACCATGACATTCACAACTAACCACGGCAGTGAAGCATCGGTGTTGAACAATAATGTCATGGTGTCGTTGATGATGATGACCCAGGTGAGTACGTTTCAAGTCGTGGAGGTTATCTTGACCCCTGTACCAGTCAAGGTAGCTTATTAATCGTGCTAAGGCTAAACGGCATTGAACCATCTTGCACTTTTCTCATCTTGGTTGTGGTATAAAAATCTTCAACCTCCCGGTTGACGGTTGATCAGTGGAATGACAAAGTGCGATTGCGCATCGAGCGGCTTTGCTCAGTGGTTATCGGCTTTCTGTCATGGAGTTCCTTCACTTGTAGGATAGAATTTCAACTAAAACTCTGAAATACACCGCCAGACTTTTAGTTCTGTCAGCTGGTCGGTTATTCCCGGTAGGTATGTAAAGTGTACAAATACTAAGCGGAAACTCACAAGCTGGAATCCCTCTGAGGGTTAGTGGAAAGTGCATTACTGAAAATTTGCAAAACAAAGCTAAAACGGGAGCAAAGTCACCACAAATGGACCTCACCTTTCGAAACACGGTGTGCAACATTTCCGGTAGGATTCCCAGCCAGTGTGGGCATTCGAACCCGAGTCGATTGAACGCAAGTTCACAGTGTCATCCACTGGACTAACCGGGCCCAATATGACTGACTATCACGATATCAAGAATTGTCTTGTCACATCTAATCAGCTGTGAAAAGGCATCTACGTAGCGCACATGTCATTT